CAGATACTCCGCGTACTAAAGTTGTACTACAAAGTCGCCAGTTCTCAGCTTCCAGCTCCACAGATTGCTCCGCGTACTAAAGTTGCACTACAAAGTCGCCAGTTCTCATCTTCCAGCTCCCCAGATACTCCACGTACTAAAGTTGTACTACAAAGTCGCCAGAGGGTTGCGCGCACAGCCGGCAGATTGCACTCTCGCCTGTATTTCGCGCACTCGACACGCACGATCTCCGCAGAGGGTTGCGCGCGCAGCCGGCAAATCGCACTCTCGCCTGCATTTCGCGCACGCGACACGCACGATCTCCGCAGAGGGTTGCGCGGGCACCCGGCGAATCGCACTCTCGCCTGCATTTCGCGGACTCGACACGCGCGATCTCCGCAGAGGGTTGCGCGCACACCCAGCAAATCGCACTCTCGCCTGCATTTCGCGCACTCGACACGCACGATCTCCGCAGAGGGTTACGCGCGCAGCCGGCAGATCGCACTCTCGCCTGCATTTCGCGCACGCGACACGCACGATCTCCGCAGAGGGTTGCGCGGGCACCCGGCGAATCGCACTCTCGCCTGCATTTCGCCGACTCGACACGCACGATCTCCGCAGAGGGTTGCGCGCACACCCGGCAAATCGCACTCTCGCCTGCATTTCGCGCACTCGACACGCACGATCTCCGCAGAGGGTTGCGCGCGCACCGGACACATCGCACTCTCGCCTGCATTTCGCGCACTCGACACGCACGATCTCCGCAGAGGGTTGCGCGCACAGCCGGCAAATCGCACTCTCGCCTGCATTTCGCGCACTCCACACGCACGATCTCCGCAGAGGGTTGCACTTTCGGTTGACGCTGTTCGTCCCACCCGCCGCCTTTAAGAGAGAATTTATAAAGTGGGGAAATGTTTTTTCATTAGGACATCTCCCGTGCTAGTTTTCCATAATATTTACCATACTCACACTTGCCCTTGCATAGTCATTGCATGCTTGCATACTCACACTTGCATACTTTGACCCTGGCAATACTTCGCACTTGGATGCTTTTGCCCTGGTATACTTCGCACGTGGATGCTTTCGCTCTTCCAGTGTGTGTGTGTGTGTCAGTGTGAGTGTCGAAGTGTAAGTGTGTCAGTGTGAGTGTCGAAGTGTGAGTGTCGAAGTGTCAGTGTTCAAAGGATTTTCCGGAAGAACCCTTCGCAATGCTTTCGGGAAAAAGGACACCAAGCACTGAAGCAACGCCAACATCCGCAAGTCCCCCACCCCTTCTCAACGATAAAATTAAGAACCCTAATCCTTCTAACTCTCATAGAACTATCAGCAGTTCTCCCACCAGGCCAACTAACATCGCTGAATCCTCCGACCAACAGGAAACAACATGAAAACAACTCCCAAACATACCCGGTCATCGACCGTTGAACGGTCACCGCACCGAGCTTCGACCGACGCACCGGTCGCCCCACCCTGATCACGTCCTGGAAATCATTGAGGGGTCGATTTGGCATCGGTGGTGCACGACCGGGGATCTCCACTTCTCATCAATCATCCAAGGCTGGAAAGAGATCTATTGAACGATTAGTGATATGCTACCCATACTGCTACTGAAGAAACTACCCCTTCTTGATCGCCGTTCAAGGCAAGAAGCCGGAGAAGATGTGCTCCTCCTTCTTCTGTTGCAACACCTCCATGGCCCGCTTCAGCATCTCACACCTTAAGCGTTTTCGGGTTGGCCAACCGGACCTTTGAAGCCTAGCGCTGCTTCGGCACTGCCGAGCACCAATGGTTTACAGGACGTAGCCGTCCTGGGAGTAACCCCAAGTCTCAATTGGGAGCAACTCGATGTGACAGTGGACGTTTCTGGAAAATCGTGCAAGCGCTCCAGTCCTCTTAAGACTCTTCAGTGTCTGATATGAACTCTATGACCCGCCCCTGCAGCCCGTTCCAGAAAGCAGCTGCAAACCACATGTGTTGCACAAGCACGCTGTGCTATTTTGGTTGCCAAATCGAACGCGCAAGAAACACACATACGAAGGGACAAGCACCAAACAAGGGGTGAAACGGACATCCGCCAACACTCAAACGACCTCGAAGCGAATCCTCGGGGATGAAATTGCCTTCGTGACATGGACAGCCCCTCAGTCGGGGTGTTGAATGGACACCCACTTGGACACCCACTGTTGACTCACCTCGAATCACCTCTTTTCGGTGTTATTCATGGACACGAATCCGTGGTCAAAGCCACTCGTCCGACCAAAACCGCTCCGGGATTCATCGTCCCGTCCCCCGAGGGCGCCGGACACTTTCATATCCGTCGGTGCACGCCTGAGAGCGACCGCCCAAAGTCCCGAAGCGGGATAGGCTCCACAGGGCAGGCTGGTGGGCCGTTTGTTCCTCCAAAAGCACTGACTGACCTTCGATCTCCTTCGATCTGCTTGATCAGTGACTCAAAAAAAGGTAACTTGATCACCCGGTCGAATCCTCGGAAGAAACAGGACCCTTTTCCAAGCGGTTGCAATGCCCACGACACATGCGCCCAGGACAGGGGCGGCACTGTTACCTGCCGCTCTTGTCCATCCCAGCAAAGGTAGGAACGGAACCATCAACAATCAGGACGCTTCATGCCAAGGCCCTCTGACTGATGTTGAATCCCTATTGAGTGTTCAACCCTCAATTGATGGAAACCTACACTTGCCCTCAACAGGAGGCAAAATGAGGCAAAAAGCTTTGCAAAACAACTGCATTGCAAGAGAGGGCACTGCAGTTACTGCAATCTTGCTGAAGAGGGGACACGTGCTTCGGTCGTGGCAAAGAATACGACCTTGGGCCTTGATGATGACCCTGCCTGTCATCAGCAAAAAAGCATCATTTACACTATCTTCACGTCGAGCTACGGCAATGGCAGGCCCAAAATCTTCTTGGCCTGCTCGTAATACCTCAGGAAACCGTCCGCACGGGTTTCATGATGCCATGGATGTGCACGATGCTTTTCATTAGTTCTCTCTGGGTGATGTATAGAAAGTTCCCAACCAATGGACCCTTCAGGAGCCAAACATGCTCCTGTTTCTGGCTCGTTATTGCAAACTCCCAGGCTACAACCTGTTCATGATCATCTGCACTTGACTCACGTTCCCCCATCCGCTGGGGGCTCCAGGCTCCTTCTGCGTAGGAATCAACCTGTAGCAGCCATAGATGGTGATGAACACCACAACGGTCCAGCAAAACCTCATGGCGGCGGACTTTTAGCGACAAACTTTAGAGCTAGGATTCTAGGCCATCACTGGAACCGTTCCAGCACCCCGCCATATTAAAGCACCAATCTTCCGTTCTAGGCCGTGATATGCTACCACAACAAACCGGCTTCGTTGATTCCATGCCTGTCATGTTCACTGGTGCCGGCATGGCACATGAAGGGAGCCAAGGGCGCATGCCACTGATCCATGCCCTCAGCGACAAGTTCAACGGCCGAAATGGATCCGAGGCTTAAGGGCCGAAATGGATGTGGCTGAGTGCATTCAAAAGCGATGAACAAACTGCTCATGCCAAAACTGGAAAGGGTCAAACACCCAGGTTTTCTGCATCACTTCGATTGGTTGTGCTTGACTTTTTGGCCAACCCGGTTGATAAACGTCTGGCCCTGGCAATTTGCCACGCTCCACCTGATCTCACCTCCATTGTGTTCCAGTGTTTTGGAATCTACCCAGCAGTGGGAGGAAAGTTGGAAGGTCAAGTTTGCTGGATGTGTGTTTGGATGGGCTCTGGCGGAACCATTTAGTCCAGTCTTCGATCTGAAGATCACTCTTACACTGCAGGTTTGAATTCTCGAGTAGAGGAAAGGAACCACTTTGAAACATCTGTTGGACCAAAGCATGGCAAAGCCCAGCTATTCAGAGGTCGGCGTCAAGTGAAACAAAATCCAGCAAGAGCCCCTTAAAACCCCCTCCCTTGGCAGGAAGGGGGTGGTACTAGTTGTTCAAGACATTCGTACCCCACAGCAGACCAGGTGGACTCAGGTTCCAAGAATGCACTGAACCTGGTTTCTGCAGTCCCCCTCTCTCTCTCTACAAAGTCTGCCTGTGACAGGATGCTCTCACCACCCGTTGCGCACCTTCACCCACCCAGGGTGCTCCACCCAGTGCTCCTGCCAGGTGTCCGCTTGAAGGAGCAATGGCAAAAGAGCACTGGCTTGGTACCTGGTGCGGCAACGACTCGCGGTAACACGGCCAGTGAACCACCGGCACAAGCAGCCCGCAAGATTGGGGTACAATGCGTTGTTGGGGCAATGGGGATTCCTTTTAGAACGTATATATAGTGCCACAAGATTTGGCCTGTAATGACCTAAGGGATGTCCAAAACAATGAGAAACAACTTTTGTTCCTAGCAAGTGCATAATCTTGCAATCAAAAAGAATGTCGAAATAGCTGGTGCGTGGTCACGACTCACACCATTCCAAAGAAGGTGTGCTGGAATATGCTGGAATGTGTCAAACGATCAATGCTCTGCACCCCTTGTATAGAACCCAAATAGCTGGAAAAGTAGATCCCTCTAAGAATGTATTGGAAACCGTGCCATTATCTAGTTGATTCTATTTTGGGGCCACTGTAATGAATCATTACACTGGTGTTTTTGGACCTGGATAGACCTGGACCTTCTCAGGACTTAGGTCCTGGATGATGTCTACACATGTTCTTTAAAGTCTAGGAATGTCTAGTGAGTCTAGGGATCATTGATGTTCTATCATAATTCTAGGATGTTCTTTAGATCATTGATGGGTTGGCGTCTCTACACGTCCACAACGAATGAATCAAACAAATGCTGTGAGCTGTGCTGTCAGCAAGGACACAGCTCAAACATGAACACCAAGCATTCCCAATGTCTGACACTCTGAACCGCTCATTGCTCATGTCCGTTTGAGCAATTCCGAGCTTTGAGAATCCTTCTGCATGCCCCCTTCCGTCATACAATCTACCCGCTGATGTGCAGCATCATGTATCAATGACAGATCTAAGCGGAGAAGCTTTGCACAAGCAAAAACATGTACAACGCCATGGTGTTCTTCAGATGTCCTGCTGACCACAGCCACCTGTACAAGAACCCTTTACACGGCAAAAACACAAGAAAACAGCTGGCTCTCTCTCTCTCTCTCTCCCTCCCCGCAAGGATCTCTCCACTCGTTGCTAACGACGCACGTGGCGTTGATCAAAGCGATGACCACCGTCTGCCGCCCCGGGAAGTGCCAAATCAAACCCATAAAGGAGAAACCTCGGACCGTTGGACGTCGCCACGCGAAAAACGGGACTCGCACGTCGACGGCACGGCCAATCTCAGCCCGTGGACGTCGTTGTCCAAACAGGGGAGTTCGTGGATCAGTGAGTTGGAGTCATCCTCCAAGGTCGATCTGCCACTCCCGGAGGATTGGACCCGGGTCGAATGGCACCCTCCAACCAGAGGTGTTCAGTTTAGTTAGTTTTCAGTGGGGTAAGTGACTCGGTAAGTGACATTAAGTGATCTAAGTGTCCTATCCAACATGTTTGTTCGATCGAAGTGGCTTGACTCGGGTTAAATGGTTGCAGTATGTTTAAGTTGTCAAAACATCTTCCTCCCTGGAATCATATCGGACATTCGATACGATTCTCGTTGCTTCTCAGGGACTGCAATCAATGGACTGCATATATATGACCAAAGGGTGCCCTAACATCACGGAGTTAGACACATTGTGTAAGGAAACTGCAGTGCAGCAGCAGCTCTAAGAAGCTAAGTCCGCACTGCTTTCTGCAGCATATGTCTTCATGTCTGTCTCCTACCGTGCGTTCTTCCTCCGATCCACGACACCAAACCCCACGTTCCCGACCACACAGGTCGGTGGGAAGTGCCGTGGCCGTCGGGCAGCTGTTCAACATCGACCCGAAGTCACAGGTGAAGACCTGGGACAGCGACGGGCAAACCCGGACCCTGCGGGTCGGGGACGGGGAAGGGCCACTGGGCCATGTGTGTGTGGAAGATGGTGAAGGAAAAGGAACAGTGACCTTCAGCAGGATCTCAGCTACCACGGTCAACAGCTTGCTTTTTTTCCATTCATATCGGTGTTTAAAAAAATATCTCGTGGAGTCCGGGCAACCTGAAACCAATTGGATCACCTCTACTGAGCCCACAGAAAAGCTTCCACTTGAGACATGGAGTGCATGGATGCAGCTATATAAATACAGCTAAATCCAAATCCAACTACTGAACCAACGTGGCGCTGCTTGGTGAACCCGTGACCTTTCCAAACCCGCTGGTTCGACCTTCACCTCTTTCTCCTCTCCGACAGTGCCGGCGGTGCAGCCGTGGAACACCCAGAATGAAGAGCCAGGAGGTGGCTGCGTCCTTGGAGATCAGTGAGTTGACATATTTAGCAGATAAAGGCACCCCACTTGGGAGCCACGGGCATCAATGAAAGCGAAACATCATTCCCCCAGCAGATTCAGTTGCATGACTGACAAATATGAATCGAACACAGGGGCACACAGCAGCTCGCGGTGTGGGGACCTCTTCCTAGATCAATGATCCAGAACAACTTCCAGAACATTATCATATCATGTCATCACCACAGCTTCGTCCACACGCTTCAGAATCCCCTCCGCCGTTTTCACCGCGCGTTTGACACCAAAGGAGCCATGCCATTGCTTCCACCCCAGACAGATGTGGTCACAAACAGAAGCCTAGCCGCCAGGAGCAGCTCATACGCCAGGTGTTTGGAAGAAAACAAGATTGTTGTGAGATGGGAAAACATGAACAAACAACTCCCAGACTCTCCATGTATGTCAGACTTACCTACATTGGGGTGGTTTGAGGGGTCAATGGGGCGGCATATATGGCAGTCCCATGGAGTGTTTGGGAATGGTTTCTCTTTTAACTGTGTGTTCTTTAAGTGGCTCTTTTTGGATGATGGATCCCTCAACCGCCCAAAACCTCTTGGAGCGAATGGGCCGCCAACCAAACAGTGCTGACACCAAAGGGACAGCACACAAAAATACAAACACATACACACCAGAACTACCCTATACACGAGTTTGTTTTAAATGAATCTCTATTGGATGGTCCAGGCATGTGTTTCTCCTAAAGTTCCATGAAGCCATAACAGGCAAGTGCTCAGACAGGACCATCCCAATCTTTGGAAGGCAACCTTGCTGGTGTCTGTGTGTGTTGTTTCTTTTAAGAAAGCTGAGTTTATCTCACCTCTGTTCAAAGTAATCCACATCCGAAACACTCCATGTATAGAATTTATAATATATGCCTACGTTGACCCCTGAAAGCATCGCAATCTAGGTATATATGCCGTACATGGAGTGGTCTTGGTATATTACTAAGAAGTGCAAAGGTGCCCAAAAGCTTCTGCTTTTGGGCACACAGATTGAAACAAACAGTTGTGTGATACGTATATGGAGATCAAATTTGAAGTGAAGGATTTCAAGCATAACAAAGCCAAGGAAATCCAAGGAACATGTTTATGACATGGACTTCATTATCTGATTTTTTTGTTGTCACAGTTATGGTCGGATAGCGGCGCATGCTGTCGCGTGCGACCGATGTGACTTCTCCAAACATCCACGTGGAAGCACACGCCAGAAGGGCCAAGCCCAAGGTCTCGGTCTCCCCAACAAGGGCATGGAAACACTGAATTGAAGGTTTTGCTCAAATCTTCCATCTTCCAGATAGGAACCGTTTTGAATCCAGCATGCAGACTACTTCACTTACATATGGCATGGACTCCCAATGTATAGTCCCTCCAATGGAGGTAACCTGCATGTTAAGCTGCCAAGCATGCCTTGAAGGCCCCTCCATCCGTCCTGCTCGCTCCTCCCGCTCCGTCCCGGTGCCGCGCCCGACGGCGCAAATCAAAGCGCCCCAGGTCCCCACGACCATCGCCTGAAGCGAAGCGACTCGGTCTGCCACAACGAGGTCGCAAAGCCGTCATCATGAGGTCGAAAAGCCGAGGTCTGCCGACTGCTACGACTGCTGCTGAGTACTGCTACTGCTACTGCCACTCCGATATTCTGGCATTTTAGAAATGCATTGCAAGTAGAACGCGATCTTCGGCGCTTTCCTTTTCTGCCCTGGTCTTTCTACGACCCGCATCTTCGGCAAAGGGGTCCACTCAGTTGAGGCCATTGGTGGCCCGGCACGCCATGACATGAAGACCATTGTTTCTCTCCATCGTTGTGCCATCGTTGTCTTTGTTTTCCACATGGTTATGGTAATGTTTTCTTCTATAGCTGCAATTGGTTCTTTTTCTCCGAGGTTTTCACACACTGCACCCCAGTTGTTCACCCTTTTCCGTGTCCTGTCTTTTCCTGGTTTACCGGTGGAAGACTTTGAACTCGGACCCGTTCAGGTTTGGGCTAAACGACCCCCCGAAATGTTACCGGCTGGCCTCTGACTGTCTAGTGACTGCTGGCCCCTTGATAATTCCTTGAACACTTCAATGTAAAACACTTAGACTCATAATATATATATATATGAACAATCCACCATCTGGAGCCACCCAAAAACAAGTTCCTTGCTTCTCACCACACCTCATGGATTGGAACGTCTCCCTAACTGTCTTTCCATCCAACACGTGGATTCCGCCGGTGCTTCGGACCAGCGGCTCCGTAGCGGTCGTAGAGGAGGCCGATGGGCGCGCTGAAGCCGTAGGCCAAGCTCTGACCAACCTCTGGAGGTCGCTACGGCCATTTCAAGGCACCGAAATGGGATTGACATGGACTGGCATGTTACTGGCAAAAATAAGTCTATTTAGAGCATGGAGGGTTTGGGTATTGAGACCTACTTTAGGGACCCTTACTGCCTGGGTAGGTGTGTTTGGACCCTCATCGATCTGAGATGGCCAAAACCTGATCGGGCGGCCCAGTCCAGAACCCACAGCTTTGACCAAGCTCGCCAAGCGAACCGGTTTTCAACTTCAAAGGAGTCTCCAATGGAATACCCTACACTATACTTGCGGATCTCCATTGGACACCCCTTTGAAGGTCTAGGTAGGTGGTTGAAGATGTACAACCCAAAGATTGAAAGCAATCTGCTCTCAGTCTTCAGTTCTTCCACTGAAAGTTCACCCCTTGAGCGGGGCATGGGGCAGGTCCATGGGAAGCCCTTTTGGACAAAGCACATGGCGCAGTCACAGGCTGAGGCGCCCAAACAACACGTGGTTTTTGCGTGTTTGTTTCTCTTTGGGCATTTCCCAGCCAGTTCAACAGGGCGGTAAACCTGGTGCTCGCACAGATCTGGCTGAAACGGTCGTTTCTGGTGCGTCTTGGCTGGATGAAACGACGACGAGACGTCTTCTCGGCATTCTTCGCACGTCGCCGGTGGAACCTGAAAGACCTGACTGGTGCAGTCAAGGGTCTTCACAATCCCGCCCAGCGACCGCACGATGGGTCAAGTATGTACACCCCGCCGAAGAACTAAGATGGACCCTGAAAACCACTGGTCTGTATAGATTCAAGGTGCCATTCGACCCGGGTCCATGTGAGTTTTCAGGAGTGTGTAGGTGTATATATACAGTATATAACTGTCAGGGTGGTTAATGGACACCCCGAATCACCTCTAAGGGGCTATCAAGTTCGACACCCCTAAACAGGTGCCCTGGTATATATTCTGTATACGCCGGTCCTCTTTATCCTTCCTCCCAACATCAAAAGGCCGGCCAATGGCCCCCCGACGCTGAAGATGCCCGTCAAAGCCTCGCCCAAACAATCGAAGCGATGAGACAATGGGACGAAGCGATGAAGTCCGAAAAACCTGCGGATTTGGCCCATCAGGACTTAAAGGTGTGAGTGAAGGTTGCCCTCAGTGGTTGGAAGGAAATGACTTTGGCTCCAAAATGTCTCAGTGCCTCTTTCATCATAAATCATCAATCAAATTATCTATAGAAAAGTTAGAGCACCACCCCCAATCCAGCAGTTCGACACCCAAGCTGGGTCAGGTCGCACTTAGGATCCCGGCCAAGTATTGGTCCTTACCTGGGCGGGTCTTTGGCTGGCCGGTTCTAGGAAGCTTCGGCCTCAGGTGTTCTTGAACACTCGCATAAACCCTCTGACACTCTGAGGCCATTTTCTTTCACTCTTGGTGGAGTATTTGGTGGGTTTCACTTCCGGATCTGCAAATCCAAGCATTGGATTGAGGTCTCATCGGTGTGCCCGGCCCTGGCGGTGTTACAGATTCGCTCCTTCCTGCCGACGCTCCGGTCCCTTTATCTCCTGCGATCTCCAGAGCTGCGAGTGCCCTCACGCACATATACGTGCCGACGCTTCGTATACCGTGCCATTCACTCAGTGCGTTTCTGTTGAGATTGTTTTTAGCTGTCTGAAGAACTCGTCTCACCTGGCTCTTCGCGGGGGGGCTCCATGACTCGTCTCTGAGCCCTTCCTTTGCAAACTCCCACAGATCAACCATAGGTCAAAAGGTAGAAGCAAGTGCTCGTCTTCCAAGAGTTTCAAAGAAGTCTCTCATGACTTGCAGTGTTCATCCAGGCTCTGTATTTCATCGCCAAAGGCGCAAACCTCTCATCCTTGCGTGCAGAAGGACACAAATGACCGACATGACCCCGACCTCCCTTTTTGGCGCTTGATGGTCTTTGCGGGTGCAACTCAAACTCAGAGTCCATAGAGTTGGGCTTCCCCGCAGGTGTCCTCATCCTTGTTGCACGTCGAGCTGAAGACACCGGCATCTGCAAACTGCTTCCTCAGTCGAACCAGCTCACCGAGTGGGACACCCTTCTTTCCTCCCAGAAAGAGTCGTGGTTTTCATGCAAAGTATGCTCTCGAGACCTTGAAAGACCTCTTCATTGAGCTCAATGCACGGCTTTGGGCCATTCCAAAAGAGTCACAGCTGCACTCTTCTTAGGCTGCATTCGGTACATGAACACAGGACGCACGGGGATCTCAAGCACCCAATTAAGAACCCTCGGATCGTCGTCCGGACGTGCGGTCGGAACAACGGATCTCTTCTCGAAGAACATGGCTGCCATGGGCCTGAGTGTGGCTTCTTAATCCCTAGGGCCCTAGGGATGGGCCCTCCAATCACCGTACCTGAGAAGGTATAACTTGGATCCTTAGAACATGTCACACATGAATCCAAACAAACTCAAGTCCGAAGCTTGGTATGGTCAGAACTGGACTCCGTCGATCTTGCCCTCCCTTGCCAACGCGGTATCGACATGTGAAAATGGTTGAAAACATGGACCATGACTCCATGACCCACATGTATCATGGACCCGACCAAACGTTTTTACATCACTCGTGACGAATTCCAGCAGTCAAAGACTCGGCATGGATCAACACATGTCAATGCAGCTGTAGACTGACCCCAAACTCCAAACTTTTCAACAAACAAAGTTACAAGCACTGTACAAACTCCAGCTCAGTGGCGCAAAAAGGGCTTGTCCTGGAAGGATTCCGGATGCCAGCGTGCAGCCTGAGAGACGTGGACCACGCGGTTCGCGGCGGCCGTAGTGCCGTTGTCCGGCCCTCCCCGGGGCGGGAGAAATGAGACAGACTTCCAGAGGTCATGTCAATTCATGTCATGGGCAGTGTCAAGCTGAGCTGTTGCTTCCTTTTTCAGATTTTGTTTTGTTTTTTGAGTGCAGTGACACTCACGGATTCTCCCACCCATTGGAAGATTGAAAGGAATGGGCATGATAAAAAAAGAACTATAGGTTCAAAGTAGTCTTGCGTCTTTAGACCAGTCCAGGACATCATCAAACAGGTACTCTCTAACGCGGGAAAAGATGTGGGTATACTGCCACGTTCATAGACGGTCCTATGACCAAACAGCCTTTGACCGGTACGGAACGGGATATCTTAATACAGTAGACCTGGTTCTTGGAAGTGGGCTTAGGATACTTTGAGAACTTTTTTGAGATCACTCGCCTGAGGAACGTCAGCAAGGATCGGAAGAAGAGGCTGATGGAACCGCGCCGGGTGGAAGAAGCTTCGGAATAGTGTTTATCATGCACCCCGCGGTATGGTATATCATTTCTCGTATCACCATCACAGCCAAACGTTCCCAACCAGGACTCCACTCTTGCAACTCCCCTTCGCTATAGGAAGTGAATCCAAATCCCTCCATCCCTCCATCCCTCTCGGTGTCGCCCTGGTCAACCCCTGGCAACGGCCCTGAGCCAAGTCTACTCCTCGAGTCCTTCCACCCACCGCCGAGCGACAAAACCAAAGCCTGGGTGTGGAAGGAGCGAGTGCGGAAGTGGAAGGAGAGGGCCGAAATCCGCAGGAGAGAGACATCAAGTGATTCCAGCAGTCCCAAGTATAGACAGGCTTTTTTTGGAATAAGACATGCTTTTGATGGACATGCTTTTCTGGACATTAGATGCTTTCTAATTAGCCATGCTTTTTGGGGGGGAATGCTTTTGAAGTCCCATGGCCCATCCCATGCATCTGAAGTCCTATCCCATGAGGGCGCACATATATGATGTGGGCACCACCTCAAACGAAGCGGACTAATACAGTATATAAGCCAGACACAACTCTGAACTCGGAACTCTTAAGAAGTTCGACCCTGAATCACCCTCTGGGGTGAGAAGTCCGACTGTTTCAACATGCAGGAGGCCCTCTCCACTCCATGGACTGGCCTGCAGTATGTCTCCCCCTGGGTCCAGAATGGGAGACCCTCCAACCATCCCTATAGGGATCCACATACCTTCTCAGACTTACTTAAACCCTTCCAGCTGACAGATTCGACATAAATCGTCTCCAATCACCTGCAGAAGGTATGTGGATCCATGGTCATATGGCTTTTCTGTGCGTCTTCTTTCCCTGGCGGGTCCAACTGGCTAAGACACCCTCACATCCCCCATCCCCGGGTGACGTCTTACCTTTTGGAACGAAGACACATCAAGCAACAGGACAGCTTCCATCATTGAACCACCTGCCACCTTTCCCAGCTTCGCCACATTGCCCGCGCCTTCAAGACCATTGCTATCTCAAGCCTCCTGAAAGAACCACGTACCACACTCCCACACTCCTTCTTTTGGAGGGCCGCCCTCACCAACCGCTCTTTTGCACGAAACGGCCGGCCCTCCCTTCCTGAGGGCCCTCGCATCATGAAGCGTCCCCAGGGAGCACTCGCCTCCTTCACTTCTTCCACCGGATCCTCCGCGAGCTCCACATCTTCCACCTGCTTTCGCCGAGGCAGGAGCCGCTCCGGCGCTTCGAGGGGTCATAGCTGGGAAGATGCGACCAACGGTGCCTGGAGTGGTCACATGTGGTCACCGGGCGGGTGCTTGGGACCCAATCAGGTATAGAAAACAAACAATAGACTCTAGAGACATTCTGCAAGGTTGGCTGCTGTCTTTGTTGGTGTATTTGCCAAGGTCTCGCGGGTAAGGGAATGCCCAGCTGGGTGGCTATGTGTCGTCTCGGCCTTGCGTTTTGAAAGGACGATTCAGCCAGTCGCTGATCCAGCCGGACCAAGTTCAATTCTACAACTGGAGTCGGAAGTCATCTTGCATCTCATCAGTTCACGAAAAAGCCTCGCACATTTCACCACATCCCCACCACCTTTTTCAATCTGCCCCCAACTGCTCCTGGTCTCCCACCCTCAAAAACATAAGGAAAAAAGAACACAAACCACCCCTTGGCTCTTTTCTTTCTATGTTTTTGTCTCCCACCCTCACCCCAAACCACGCTCCAGCGCCTTGGGCAGCAGCTGCGTCCGGGCGGTGGGCGCCACTGTCTCCAGCCCATCGGCGTCGGGGGCCTCGGCCCCGGAGCGAACCGAGTACGGCCCCCGAGGGCGCCATCCTGAGCCATCCACTGGTCAGACCATCGGAGTGTACGTTTCGGACGACGGTGGAACATGAGACCAGCGAAACCGAAGGACGGTGTTTCTTTTTGGACTGTGCCTTCCTTACCTGGTGACCTATCAGTATATAGATGTAAGTATTTGATCTCTCCGCCTGCGACGGGTGTTAGGTCGCAAGCTTGATTGTAAATTGTGTGATCTGGGGGAAACCCACTGCCCGTGGTTCAGAATGACGATCCAATATATCCTAGCTGCAGCTACCAAAGAAGTCCGGGACATGTTTTTGCGCTGGTGCATGCATGCCTCATGATGCTTACATCCAAACCTGCGCTTGCTCCACACGATTATTCCCGAACTTCCTGACTTTCCTCTTGGGTTAGTTTGCGAGAACTCCAAACAGGTACAGCATTGGGGTTTAGTGCTTGGCCGCCACAGGACCTCATGGCGCCATCACCAAACTTGAGCACCCATCGAGAACATGGACCTGGACATGCCAAACCTTCCTGCCCAACAACACTAACAGAGGTTAAGTGACCTTATAGGATCCTACAGGGGTACCTATAGGATAGTCTATAATTAGGGTTCTTCAACCTCTGCTGGCATCCCACTCTACCCCAAAGAAAACCCCAAGCCCGACCGTGGCGTGACCCACGCGTCGTCCCAGTGCGCTGAGTGGGGTCCCGGACCACCTGAAAGCTCTTCGGATCCTGACGCGAGGCGAAGGGTGAATGGTGCTTCTGCAGGTGGCGTCGGTCAGTCTCAATGAATGGGTTGAAGGGAGCATCTGCAGGAACTCCTGGTGTTCGCCACAAAAAACGATGGGTTTACTGTAGGTGTTCCCTTAAACCAATTCTGGGAGTCTATATGATCTATGCTCAGATCTGGCATCATTCTTTACCTGCACAAATGTCTGACTTCATCGATTGGAGGCATGAGATCTGATATCAGTGTTTCACGCCCCAAGAGGGCCTTTAACACAAATACAGGACTTTCACTATAGCACGTATATACTATTCATATCTGTTCATCATGTTTGTTATTCTTTTTGAGAGGTTTTCGCCAGTTAACTGCATGTAGGTTGCCGGCTGGACCCGTATGGCTGCTTGAAGCGTAGAAGAGTGGCAGGCCTTTCGCCAGTCGTAAACACTCCATGCCTATCATATATGCCGCCTACATTGACCCCCGCAGGCCACCCCAATGTACTTAAAGGTTCAAGGCGTTTAGTATTTGGATGTGCTGCTTAGTGCTACTTAGGAAGTAGCCTATCTTGAGATATAACTTCTGTAAGTAAAGATATAATTGACTTTTCTATGACAACTACTTATCATCACTTACTAACTATGACGCATCAGTTACTTTGTGTTGTAACTATATAAGCTACTTACTATCTAATATGTAACTACTTACGCTAAGTGAGCTAAGTACTTATCACACATACAAGCCCGCCCGCCAAGTCAAGGACAAGGTCAGGAACACAGATGTGGCGTGCAGCTGCTGGCGTCGCCCTACTTCAGGGTACGCCTCCCCCGTCGAGAGCCGTCGAGAGGTTGTGGTTGAACAGGACGACACTTGCAAACACGTCATGTGGAGTTTCACTCGCTTGCAGTTGCTTTTATAGGTGAAGTCGGCGGTGTTTTTCGATGGATCAATTCAGAATGTTTCTTGCTTTGACATGGCTTTCATGAGGTTTCCTGCATGTTGTCATGTGACATGAGATGGCCAGACGTGACATGGTTCCTTGTTTTCATGTGGCATGGCATGACATGACGTGGCACGACATGACATGGTTTCCTGCTTTCATGTGACATGACATGGCATGACATGGTTTTGTTTTTTCATGTGACATGACATGGCATGACATGGTTTCCTGTTTTCATGGGACATGACATGGCATGACATGGTTTCCTGTTTTCATGTGACATGACATGGCATGACATGGTTTTCTGTTTCCATGTGACATGACATGGCATGACATGACATGACACGGCCATGACATGACACGGCGTGACATGACATGTCATGTGGAGGACTCCGACATGTTCATGATGGAAAAGCACAAACACTTCTACCGTCAGATGGGTGTTCAAGATTTTTACCGAGGACCCATGAAGGTGACATGACAAACATGTTCACATGAAGGTGACAATCTCAGAACATGAGTTTCATGCGACAAACACTCTGACTTTACACACGCATGAGTCTCACAACAAACATGTTCACACACTTGACCAGCCAGTGGCAATCTCATAGGCTTTGTTCACACACTTCACAAACTTAATCACACTTGACCACTCCTCTCACACATGTTCACGAATCTCACAAACATGTTCACATCTGACAACTCCTTCACTGCGCCGGGCATCATGGCACTTCCTCGTCGCGTGCTGGATGGAATGCAAGAGCTCCTGCACAAGGAGCCTGAGAAGTTGGTGAAGACCGTGCAGTCCTGCCTGGACTTTTTGACGGAGCACGGCATGGTCACGACCATGAAGCTGCCCCCACTGGCAGTTGGAGTCCACCCTTCCAACCGGGACGGGTGTGGAGTGAACCCATCTGACGTTCACGAGCTCATCGACAACATCAGTGGCGTTGGATGGGTGGATTCGAAAGTGAATGGCATAGCAGTTGAGGTTGAGGATTCGCACCGGAACTTCAACCAGCAGATCTGCTTGGCGGCGGCTGGTGCCTTGGGGACGGTGGATTCCATGGCCTTGAAAGCGGTTACGCTATGTGGGAGTCACACCAATTATGCACTTCGCCTGATCGTGCAGGAGGTTGCGCATGAAGGAGGCGCACTCACCCAGGACGGCAAACTGAGCCTGAGCTTGGTCCAGAAGCACGACCAGGCTTTCTACAAAGCCGCTACTACCGGCATTACGTTCAAGGTGCTGAACAAGGAGGTCGCCCGTCAATGGCCGGACCTCCTGCCAATGATCCAGCAGTATGGCAATGCAAGTTTACAGAAACAAGAGCACGAACTTCAGATGTTGTGCCGCCTGCATGCTTTGTACGTGGCCCAACATGCAAAAGGGGGCGCAGTGTCGTTCGCTGAGATCAAACGGAAGGCTTTGCAAAGTCGACCGCCTTGCGCTGCTGCAGTGCCAGCTTTGTACAGCTTTGTTCTCAAAGCTAGTGGTGGCAGTACAGGTGAGCTCCTCAAGGAGACAGAGCGTTTCGTGAGACAGCGATGTTCTTCGGCGAGGTCGTTGGGGGCAGATCTTTGGGAGGTCTTGGCTCATGAGCCTAAAGGTTTCGCTTCTTCTGGCTCTTTGGCCTTGTTCAGACATGCAATGGTGAAGCTGGCCTACTCGTCGAAGAAGATGGGCAAGGCCGAATGCAAGAAGATGTTCAGTCAGGACATCAAGCGTGATGTGGTCACGGCAGATGCTTTGATGAACGAACTTCGTTCACTGGCAAGGCACCACGCAGATCCGAGTACTCCACAGGTGTTCATTGCCCAAGGCTTGACTGACCAGATGTTGGCAAGCTTTGCCATCAAGCTTCGTCTTCCAGACGAAAAGCTATATGAATCGTTCGATGAGATTTGCCATGACTTTGTCCTGGTCTTGAGGCACATGACTGGCCAGCCTGTCCCTTCTCGATGGGAGGCAGGTTTGAAGGAAGAGGAGAAGGCCAAGGTCAAAGAGAGTGATTCTCAGGCCTCCCTGCGGGAGCTGAAAGAAGATGGAACCTTCAAGGATCCGGCCAAGGTGCTTGCTGAGATGGGGTTCCCGGTCGGATCGCACATTCGCCGCAAGAGTGACAAGACAGAGGCCGTGATCACGGAAGTGGTGGAAGACAATGTGAAAGTCTCGATTGATGGAGGCTTCTTCAAAGTCAACATCAAGGAGTCAACTGTTTTTTGTTTTTTCAGGACGTATTTCATCTCATGGAGTTTTATTTATCTCATGCAATGGTAGGCCACAAGGGTTCAGCTTTCAATTCATGCAATCACATGTCCATGTTTCCTATGTCCATGTCATGAGAATGATCTCACGGTCACGTTTTCTCATGGACATGTATAGTGTGCACTCAGGAATTTCATGCCACGTCATGTCATGTCAGACCTTCACAAGAGTTCAAGTCAAAACACGCCATATCATGGACACAGCTCATGCGCCATAACACGCAGGACATTATGAATGGGATGTGGGCTACCTTCACTCCGCGTCCTGAGCGTGAGGTATTGCAAGATCTTGCCCAGTACGCCACGAGCCAGAGCTGGAACTACGAGGCCTCTTTGACTGCTGCCAAGATCACTTTGGAACTTGAGGACCTCTCGAAGAAGTACAAGCAGGATCAATGGCACGCCCTTGAGCTTCAACTGAAGCCAGGCAAGGTTTTGCAGGTCGTACAGCCCATCCAGAAGCACAAGCTCATCTTGGCGCCAACAACTTCAAAAGTCATGTTCAAGTGGGAGGGGGTTCCTGCCGCTGGCGTGAAGGTTGAGACCGACTGGGAGGATGCTTGCTCTTTCTTCCTGCTCGCAGATTCCAAGTTGCCAGGAGATGATGAGCCAGAAGATCCAAAGGATTGCAGCTTCTGCCCGTACTTCAGCGTGGAGAAGACCAGCAAGGAGGACGAGTCCAACATGGAGGTGTTCTGGGCCCATGGGCGAGACAGTACTTTGAGGTTTCCTCTTCTCCGCAACACGAGGAAGCTCGAGACTGGAGAGCGGCTGATGATTTGGCAGGAGAAAGTGTCTCAGGCAGTGGAGCCTCTTGCTGCAGCTTCACCGGCCAAGCGGCCTGCACCGGAAGGCGGCCGCGCCAAGAAGAGGAGCAAGTGACGGCCAGTGATGGCAAAGCTCCACGGTGACGATTTTGCACTATGACCGATCTCCCATGTCAAAAGATAAATGTGCATGTCATGGATTTGCAGTCGTGGTTGTCATTTGTATAGGCGTGTCATGGCATTTCTGTGCATGGACCATGTGTTTATGACACAGTTCAGTTGAGACTCTCATGAAACATGTCTTGTCACATGGGTTTTGTTTTCATGTCATGCTGCAACACATGGGTGATGTTTTCATGTCATGCTGCAATGTCAATGATACACGCCTAAATCCCAGCAGGTTCAAAAGTATCATCGTTCGTGTATATATACTGCAGATTCGTTTGGTGCCATGATGCGTGCAAGCTTTGAGGTGGGGTCAGTTTTGCAAGTGGCATGGGCTGGCCGGAAGGGGCGGGAGACCTGGGTTCCCAAGCAGAAGGTGGTGGAAGGCAAGGCATTCTTCTGCTTGGACAAGTGGGAGCATCGTGCCGTGTTCTTCTTCACAGACACCAAGCTTGACTTGAGAAAAGGGAAACACACTGGCTCGATCGATACGCCATTCTTGGATGAGCTGCTCAGCCAAAGGAACCGCGCTGCAGATGAAGCAGTGCAGAATGCGATTGAAGTCCCTGTCGATGGCGAAGATGAGCAGCAGCCTCCCAAGAAGAAGAAGAGGGCCAAGCACACGATTGAGAAGCAGCACTTGGCCCCAGAGATTCTCACGATCGAAGTTGAGGGTGAGCAATTTGAGTGTTTGTTTGAGGGTTGCCACTCGTCAGTCATTTGGCTGGAGATGAGTGATGAAATCCTCTCTCGTGTGGGCAAGAAGCTGGCTGCCTCGAATTCGAAGGCTCGAAAGTCACGGCCCTCATCACGGTAGTTGTGCTTCTCATGATTGTTGAAGACACGCAGCACGTCATGAGAGACATCTCACGATGCCACGAGGAACAGACAAAAGTTTGCATGTTGGTTGGTGGGTTTGTCATGTCAAACGAATGCACGCATGGATCATGTCATGTGAGTGATTTGTTATGTCAAACGAATGCATGGACCATGTCATGTGAGTGGTTTGTCATGGCCATGTAAAACACGATTGCACCGATCATGTCATGTGATTGATTTGTCATGGCCATGCAAAACAAGATTGCATGGACATGTCATGAGTGATTTATTGTCCTTTTTCGTTGTTGTGATTTGTTGATATAGGTTGTGTTGTTTGTTTACCGTTGAGGGACAAGCCTCCACAGACAAACAAAAACCTTGAGACAGATGGGATTGAGCAACCTGCATTCTCCGCGCCGACCGCTTTCTAGTCAGCACGGCACGCGTCAACAGTTTTTGATATACAAGGAACACTGAAACTTCAAGAAGAAGAGCCAAGAAATGCCAAGAACACGCAAACTTCAAGAACAAGAGTCAAGAAACATCAAGAACATTCAAACTTCAAGAACAACAGTCAAGAAATGTCAAGAACACTCAAACTTCATGCAATGAAATTATAATGCAATTGCATTGTTTCAGAAGAACACTTTCTTCCGTCGCGCCGCGCAGTGAATTCATGAACTGTCGACTCATGAACATTGTCCAACGTATGCCAACATATTTCACCCCAATATTTCATCATTGAAACACCACGTTCACCAAGACAGGATCATTCACAAATGTGTGATATATCACAATTTTCATTTACCGATAAGAGCCATGGGACGCAAACTTCATTTCGTCCTCCTCGACAAGCGTCACAGCATTGATGACCAGGAGTGCTTGCAATTCCAGCATTCTTACAGGGGGCTCTTACAGTGGTAAGGGGCGCGTGGTAGGAGTCTTGTCAGATGTTTCATATCATTTTCTGTTCATCTTCATTTTCTGTCCATCTTCATTTGATTCTCGAACCACAATGCCCAAGTCTGCAGGATGACCCCGAGGTCGAGAGCTTCCACGAAGCGTGTTTGACAACACGCATGGAGCAGCAAGAGGCTGGGTCGGGGAAGGACTGGGCAAGAGTTTACACGGAACGTAAATACGCGCTTGTGTCCATGACACGTCCATGACACGTTCATGACACGTCATGTCCACAGCCCTTGATAACTGTTCATGCCATGTTGCCCATCCCGCGTCACGGCAGGGCAAGGACTTCGAGTACTGCAATGCAGTCGCTAGCCTGACATGGCAACGGAGCAAAGGCTGGCGCATACAACTACTGGACAGCGGCTGTACGCTCTTCCGGGCAGTGGGCACTGGCGGAAGCAGCCGCATTCCACAGACAGGAGCACAGTGAGAGCACATGGCACGATTGATTGACATGATGCATGGGTGACTGTACATGTATATCTGCAATTGCGCCAGGAGAGTGGGAGGTGCAACGGTGGGACCATCGCTGGGTTCAATCGTCCTTGGAGGTGCAGGCATCGGCATGTTGTCTCTTCACTCGCATGTTGTCACTTCATGTACCATGTGCCACTTCATGTTGTCATGTCATGCAACTTCCCAGACTTTCGCATGTGCAGGTGGTCAGTGGCTCCGAAGATGATGAAGAGGAGGCAGGGAGACCGACAAGGTGAACACAATATCAGTTTTGAGGGCCTGACAACAGACGGGGAAAACAAGCTTGCACAGAACATGTCATGAGTGATTTGGTTTTTCATGTTCATCTGCGTGCGCTCCACAGGACCATCGTCGACGCCGTCGAAGGCAAGCTCGAGCATCGAAGGAGGTGCACACGCAAGTTGAGACACTTCAAGAAGAACATAATGAAATATATTGAAATTTTGTATTTTGAGACACTTCATATATCACCTCAACTCATTGAGACATTGTCAACTCATTGATCTTGCAAGCCTTTTCCGGGAGGTGAAGCGAGAGCCACCACGCTCGCGAACCCGCAGTCCTCGACGAGCACGAGAGGAGCCCAATTCATCATGCTTCATGTTCATGTTTCATGCACGGATCATGGTCATGTACATGCCGACGTGGAGTGCATGGAGGAGCGGTCTAGGCGCAGGCGATCACCGGACGTCAGTCCGGTGCACCGGGCGCCTGTGGAGCTGCCGCCGCAGCATCGGCCCACAATGGCGCCGGCCGCTGATTTGGCTCCGGAGCCAGAGGCGGTGCCGACTCCGGTCTTTACACCGGCAGTTCCTGCCAAAGCGACCGGGTTCACCAACATAAACCCGCCGCCGCCGGCAAGGCCACCCGCAAAGGCAGTCCCAGCACCAAGGCCGGCCTTCCTACCAGCAACATCGAAGGCGATGAGTTCAGCGCAAGCAGCACAAGCAGCAGCACCGACAGCACCGCCGGCACATCCAGCACCAGGGCCTGCAACGGTACCACACTCAACTTGGGTCATGTTACATTCAGCGTGTGACATTCAGTTCATTCAGCAGGTTCTCATTACTCATCTCAGCGCACTTCCCAGGTCCGTCCTCCACCTCCTGCTCCTCCTGCTCCTCGTCCCACTCATGATCCAGCTTTGCTTCCAGGTCAAGGCCAGTGGTTTTCACGACTTGTGACGTTGCACGACGTGTGATGTTTCACGACTTGTGATCCATCCATCCATGCGTTCATTGACAATCTCCTCATTGCAGGCCCTGGTCGCCACATATTTGTCGCCGAAGGACGTGAGCCACAGCCTCATTACATGACATGCACTATGACATGCATTTCCTTGTATGCCATGGACCTCATGTTTAACTATGTCAAGACATGCCATGTCATGCCACGACATGACATTCAGTGCCACGTTCAGCGCCATCCGCATTTAACCTGCCGCTCCGAGGCTGGAAGCCGTGGTGGAGCTCCTCAACCGCCTTCGACGTGGTGTCCGATGCTCAACGAAAGGGATTTGCAGACAACACTGAGGCAAAGGCAATTGGATTTGAGTGGCAACACGGTTTGAATAGCAACACGGGCAGATCTCAAAAAGGTTCAAAGGTTGAGATTTATCTTATCTGTTTTGAGGCCTGATGGATCATTTTCTGATCTTCTGAAGCCGGCTTTTTGTGGCTTCCTGATGCCACACGACCTTCGTCCGGCAGATCATAAGCTGAAAAGGAGAAAATCTTAATATATATGATTTTATAATATTATAAAAATATGACTAGATCAAAATCTAAATTTTTATATATTTATAAAAATTTAGATCTAATGACTAACATTTTTTTATAATATTATAAAAAATATATATTTTTATAATATTATAAAAATATGGCTGTGAATATGATCACATTTTTATAATATTATAAAAAAATGGTTATGAACATAATCACATTTTTATAATATTATAAAAATATGATTTTCTATCATATTGGTTGCTGATACGATCAGAGACGATTTGAGACACATTTCAGACAATTTGGAGCGACTTTTTGTGAGCATTCAAAGAGTATGAGGCATTGCGTCTGTGAGATGTGGTCGGTCAACCGCTAGAGATTTGAGAGAATGTGTAACATCAGTTTGAGATGTGGTTCATTGGCCAACCCATGAAATTGTTTTGAGAGTTGTTGTTCACAACTGTATTTGTGTTGTGCTCTCTGACATCTGCAGCAGTTCTTGTCGTTGCCATGCCATGTGAAAGGCAATTAAACTATACGCAATGCACATGCACGACATGTCATGAGATGTCTCCTGCCATGGTCATGTCATGCTCATGCTATGTTTATGTCACGCATTGTCATGTCATGTGTTCCATGTCAATGCACGTCATCGCTGCTCATACCAGCCTGTTCAAGTCGGTGAACGTGATTTAGATTTGTAGATTCCACACAGTTGCATTCATGGCACCAAAGAGGACACTGAATGAGATGAATGAATCGAACTCCAATGCCTCCAATGCGACCACCTCTGATTCGGAGCGCACCTTGCGGTTGGGAGATTGGCAGGCGATGCGCTCGCCGGCGTCGGCCGATTCTGATCCGACCGACCTTGAGGGCTTTGCTCCACATCCATGCCGTGTGCCACTTCCTCGGATTGAGCCTCCACCGCAGTTCGAGTGGGCGTGGTGCGGAAGCTGGACACGTGATGTGTCACTAGCTGAGCAGTGCAGTTCTTGGCCCAGGGATGGCCACTGGCGGAAGCTCTTCATGGGCACCAGCACCAAGATCGTGAACAAGGAAGATGTGTGGATCAATGTGGCAGGGTTTGGCCAGTCCACATACCGCTTCAGGTTCAAAGGTGAGATGGTTTTCAAGGGCGAGATAGTCTACCTCTATGAGAATGTCACGGAGAAGTGGCACAACGTCTTGATCAAGAAGGTCGGCTCTGCAATCATTGTGAACTTCGAGAAGGTCTACAACGAGGACCAGACCAAGGTGGCTGTTGTGTGGAGCTACGCCTTCACAGGCAACCGGCTGTGGGCAGTGATCTATGATACCACCGCTCGGCCGACCATCAAGGGCTGTTTCGATGATTTGCTGAGCCAGGGAGTTCGCGCAGGGCTGTGGACTTGCAACCAGACCTTCAAGCTTGCCAGCGGAGCGCATCCAAATGGCAGAATGAATTTTGAAGAAGTTTAGAGTGTATAAGTGTTCTACTCATTGCGCATCAGCCGGTCAAAACATGAGAAGTATGACCGTCTATATGCCTGAGGTTTTGAGGCGGACACGCATTCGAGTGAGAGAAAATCGTAATGGCAATGGGTTTGCGTGCGTATGTTTGCTTGCATTTGAACGAGACATGTGACTTGCATGTTTTCCTTTCTTTTGACAGTCGTGCGCTGCATGTGGAGAGTCATGTCCAGGTGTCCACCGTGCACGTCATGTGGAGAGTCATGCGCACGTGTCCACCGTGCACGTCATGTTGACCCCCATGCCATGTCGACACCCATGGAAGCATGGAAAGGCCCATGTCTGAACATGAAGACCCATGTCCACAGGCCCAAACACAGGTCAGCATGTCAACATGACAAACTCCATGACAACATGTCAGGACGCATGTCAACACAATGTAGGACAGCGTGTGGAGACACGTGTCACCAGTTCATTTTGAGGGGCATGACATACTTCTTCTCCTTGATCAGTTTTGTTTGGTGTGTGATGTCTCACCTCCTATCTGAGCTGAACGAGATCCAATCCTTCCTCACAGCGCAGAAGAACACTTTGGGGAAGCACTTCTCTGAAGTACGGGACGCGCAAGCAAAAGGTTTGGTTGGGACGCTCTGCTTGTGCTTTTCACATGTCATGTCACGCATGCACGTTTTGGGCTTTTGCTTGTGGGAGGACAGGTTACTTTTAAGTATGGGATGACAGGTTACTTTTAAGTATGGGATGGGATGACAAACAGCTGTAAGGAAGATCCGAGCATTGGGTGAGATCACTCCAGCATTTGCAGTTCAGTTTGCAGATGCATTGGCTGGAGGACCGTGGACAGAGGCTCAGGCAGAGGCCTTGTCTCACGAGGTGGGAAAGCGGCTTGGGCTTGCAAACAACGATTCGTCAAAGAAGAAGAGAGTGCCACAGACATGCTTCAGCTTCGAGAGCTTCTTGACGAAGAAGGAGGTGGCTGACCTTCATGGCAGTGCAAGTTCTCTCTCGAAAGTGAACCTGCTGGCGAAGAGAGCTGCTCTGATTGGACTGACGAATCCAAACGAGCAGACGGTGGGCCACGTGGTGAGACTCCTGGCGGGCTTGGGGGTTCCTGAGTTGAAGAACCAGAAGTTGTTTCATGCGGCAGTGCAGGACTTCAAACAATGTCTGAAGAGCAACATCAAATCACTCGGCTACCCGCAGGATCACATTAAATCATTTGATGGCCCTGAGAACCTTCCTGAAGAGGTCAAGAAGCGTGCCTATACAGAAGATGACGAGATGGTTGAGGCTGGGGACATCAAGACTGACGACATGGCTGTGGTCAAAGTTTTGAGGAAGAGCCATAGAACTGTCAAGGATGCTGCACCTTCGTCGTCTTCCACGGCTCTGGTGGCAGCTCCTGGTCCAGTCAGCAGCATGGGTAGCCTGCGTGAGCTTGTTGAGTGCCTTGACTCCTTTTTTGAACGTGCCTTCAAGCTTTCAGCCACGCCACAGTCATGTCTCGCCACTGTCATGCCATGCCACGGTCATGCCATGTTCACGCCATGCCTTCATCATGTGGTGTTTAGTGGCATGTTGATGGTTGTTTTTACACGATCATGACACACCGGCGAACTAAAGTATACATGTTCTCACGATCATACCACTGTGCATCTCAAAGTGCTTGTTCAACAACATGTACTTCTTCACGTCCAGATTTATATTTCTACATGTTCACAGTCACAGTTCTTTCATGTTCTTCAACTTGTATCCAAGGTTGGCTGTGCAGGGCATGATGCAGCAACGTCAGCCACCTCCTGTGGACTTGCCCGGCTTCAAGTTCCTCGGCTCCAAGGCAAAAGAGACGGTTGCAACCAAAGAGGAACCTCCCTCGAACATGCCGGAGAAGGCAACGGCTGCCCTTCCAGAAGTGCACAGTCCTGATGCTGCTAGTGAGCCTGAGAATGACAATGACAAGGTGGAGCCGCTGTCGGCCAAAGAGCAGGCTGATGCAATGCTGAAGGCATTCAAGGCCCGTGGCGCAGATGATTCAACAAAGTGTTCGAGAGGTCGCCCAAGGAAGAGGCCTGCTGCTGCAAATGCTTCGCCCATGAAGAAGTCCGCGGTGAAGGCCATGAAGAAGGTCGTGATGAAGGCCATGAAGAAGTCCACGAAGACGTCTAAAAAGTCAGTTCAGACCTCCAAGAAGTTGCCGGCCAAGAGCAATGACCAGAAGGCCAAGAAGGAGAAGGTCACTGCTCCTGAGAAGTCAGCAGATGTGGCCAAGATGGCCAAGCTCTCAAAGGCACAACGAGTTCGATTCAGGCCAAACGGGTGCTCCAAGTGCCGGAACTCACCAGGCTGCAGTCCTTCGTGCTTTCGTTAGATCTTCATGAAGGCGGCAGAGTGCATCTAGTAGTGCAAGTTCGTTGATTTTGAAAAAAACTTGTTTGTGTGCAGCTGGAGGGCTGAGCTCCCAGACTGAGAGTGCATCGATGTCCTGAGCTCTGACGTGTATAGATTCAAAGCGCTCCACGCGCTGGGGTGAATCTGATCTGGCTGACACTGATAAATCCTGCTGACTCTTGCGCGTGGGCACGTTGCTTGCGCGCATGGTTTTCTCATTTGTTTCAAGGACCATGCCATGATTCATGTCACGCATGCCCATGATTACAAGCCCATGTCACCGCACGTTCATGTGGAAGATTGTACAAACATGCCGCATGGATTCGACTCACAAAAGTGTTTCTGAACATGCATGGTCATGGAATGGAAGCTTCTGTAAATGACCATGGTTCAAAGCTGTTTTACACATGTCATATATGGTCATATGCCATGGACTCATGTTGTACCCTGAACTCACATCAACCCATGCAGCCAACACGTTCAATTGTACTTCACACAGCTCACATATGTGCATACATCAGCTCACATGTGCATGACATAAGGGGATGAATGACGTGACATCACATGGCATTTCCAGCAATCATTGGAATTCGTCCTTTTGATTCCACTTGATATACTTTAGTTGGTGCCATGGAAAGCCATGAACCTAAGCCAATTTGGTAGGCGCTCATTTGTCTCACTCAGAGGCCTCGAGAGCATTCTCAAAGACATCGAGCGTCATGGGCTGCCAAAGGCTCATTCACGGAGTACGATAAAGAGAGCCCGCGAGAAGCAGATCGAAGAGTACTCGACTTCCTACGGCCCTGTGCTTCAAGCTCTTGAGGTGCCTCTCAGTGACGGCAGTGGAAACACAACCATTTTCGTCTCCCACCCTGTCTCCATCCTCCAGAGCGCTATCACGCATTGTAAGCTGTTTCGTGATCACTTTGTTCGATGCTGCAATGATCACCCTCCTCACCCAGACCGCAAATGGCAGTTCGCGGTATACACAGACGAAGTTACACCAGGTAATGCCTTGAAGCACAACAACGAACGTAAGCTCCAAGTGTGCTACTTCTCAGTGACTTGATTCAATTGTTTCCAGCGTTTTTGTTCTGCGCGCTCACTTCCCAAGGTGTACAGATCGGGGGTGTACATGTGTTTTGACACGCATAACTTCAGTCATTCTTGCCAGGTGCTTGAGTTGGGTTCCTGGGCCCTTTCTCGAGAGGCATTCTGGTTTTGCCTCTGCGCGGTGAAGTCGAGCACTGTTCAGAAGATTGGCGGTATGAGTTTGCTCATGCCTCATCTTCTGGACCTATTTCGCATGCCTTTTGACACCTCTAGTGGCATTTACTTGCGGCATGCAGATTGGCGGGTCATGTTCTTTGGACAAGTGGCGCTGCACATTGGAGACGAGGTGGCATGCAAGTCTGTCCTGGGTGTCAAGGGAGCTGCCGGGACAGTTTTCTGCGCTTGCTGCCAGAATGGCGTTGACTTCAAGAGTGCTTTGCAGGATCACGATGACCGGCTCATACCGTCAACATGCCTGGAGTTCTCGAGGTTCCGTCAACACACAACTGAGAGCGTCAGGGACGCACATCAACTGTTGCGTGAACGCCATGAAGTTGAGACGGCTGCAGGCTTCAAGCTTTTAGAGCAGAGCCTGGGTTTCAACTGGCATGAACGAAGCCTGTTGAGCATCCCGCGCCACCAGTACCTGCTGAGCGCTACGATGTTCGACTGGTTCCATATCTATTTTGTGCATGGGGTTGCTTCCGTGCACGCTGGACTCACAATAGCAGAGCTCCACAAGGGAGGTCACCAGGCTCAAGACATAGCCTTGTTTGTTCAGGCCTTTGTGATGCCGCGTCGACTTCAGGGAGCCAGGCCTAAGGCTTGCCTGGAGAAGCGGTCCAACAAGACAGATCCTTTGAAAGGAAGCGCTTCAGAGACCATCAACTTCCTGCTGATCCTTCGGTGCTATATTCTACAGTTTGTTCTTGATGACTGCAGCCCTGGACTCAGAAGGTGTTGCCAGTCCTTCCTGCACCTGTGTAGCATCACGGACACGCTCCTTCAGAGTTGGAAAAACCAGACACTGGGCTGCAACACGCCATGTCACATCACATCATGTCACTTTTCCTCATGGACATGTGACTGGAGTGTCGAAAGGTGTTTTGAGCCATGTCGTATAGCAGTTTGCTTCATGGACGTCATGGGAAGGTCATGTTACATAGGATGCATGTCATGGGATGGTCATGCCGCGTCATGTCACAATGACATGTCATTGGTTTCTCCTCATGGCATGCGGCATGGGCAATATGACTGTTGTCAGGTGTTCAACGCCAATGATATATGTTTTATGTGAGGGTTCAACAAGTTTGAGTTCTGCGCACTGTTCACCGATGTCTCGAGAAACCTCGTGTCCAGGGAATTGAAAGTGTCTTTGAGACGTCAATTATATACACCTGTTGAGACAGGGTGGTCACCAAGTTTCAATCTGTTGAGACTGGGTGTTCACCAAACTACAAGTTTCAACCAATGTCACGATAGTTTGGTTGTGGACAGAGTCGATGCACTCATGAGTGTTCATGCAATGTCGTTGTTCATAGACATGCTGTGCGCTCATGCGTTTTCATGCCATGTCCTTTTGCATCGACTTTCATGGAAATATGGAAACGCAATGTGTTTGTGAGTTTTCATGCCATGTCTTTGTTCATGGACATGGGATGTGTTTATATGAGTTTTCATGCCATGTTTTGCGCATGAACTTGCGTAGTACTCATGAGTTTACATGTCATGACATGTCATGAAGGTTCATTAACCTATAACATACTCTTTATATATGATTTCCCTTTCCACTGTACTTTGGATCTCACCAAGGTCCTGCATTTCAAAGTTTGCCCGGGAGATACAACTTCACTTGTCTACCTTCCAGAGCAGTCATGGATTGGAATACTGGACGCCAAAGTTTCACAGCTGCTTGCATTTACCGTCCATGTGGAGAAAACATCAAATGCTCCTGGCATGCTTCTGCCAGGAGAGGAAGCACCGCATGGTGAAGCGCATAGTGAACCAAGTGAACAACCCTGCCCGGTCATTTGAAAAGAGCGTCATGCAGGACACGACTCTGAGACAGTTCGAGATGATGGATGACGAGGTTTCGATTCCACGCGCGTGGCCATGTTTGTTGGAAGCGCAGCCGGCTTCATCAAAGATCTCTGACATGATTTCGATGGCCCTTCAGCTTCCTGCAAATGTTGATGTCAAGTCTTCACGAAGGGGCATCACGGGCGGCTCTTCTGAGGTGGCAGTTGGCGATGTAGTGGTCTTCCTTGAGGCCAGGGTCGACCGCAAACACGTTGGCTCTGTCAAGTGGCTCTGCCAGATTGAGGACACATGCATGGCATGCCTCGACGTGTGGGAGCATGTGGCGAAGTCTCTGTACAGAGTGGTCGACAACTGCCAACTTGTGCCTCTTGCATCTGTCACAGACACGTGCATGTACAGCATCAAGGAAGGGGGAGCGCTCGTGATCTGGTGAAAATAGGGTTTCTGCGTCAAGCT